GTCAGTTAAGTTAGGACATATGGGTCAATTTAATATTTGTATGGACACTAACACTTTTAATAATTGGATCATCAGATTATACTAAGAGTTGCATGGGGCCTAGAGAGGGGTCATTCCACATAATTTTTCTTGAGAAAAGAGGAATAAGAAAAATGAAGTTTTCGCTAAATGTGAGTGTTTGATGAAGGGACCCTTTGTTTTCTTCTATTTGTTGTGTGTGTTTGGCCTAAATTATTATTGTTTTCTATTTTCCTTCAATTTTACTACGTCAATTTGATAACAGAGTGTAGGCTTTCTTGAACAAGAAGGCCGGGAAACTACACCCAAGTCTAGGGTTTACTGATTTTGGGCCAAGTTTTGCCAAATTCAGCCTAGAGCTTACTGATTTCGGCAAGGTTTTGGTTGATTCTCTGTCTAGGTTTTGTGATTTTAGCAAATCCATCGTAGTGAGAAAGGGCTGTGGAATGGGGCAGTTTCGAAGACAACTTCGTGATTCTAGAGATAAGGAGATTGAAGACCTCAAAAGGAAAGTTCATCAGCTGGTGAAACAGTTTGCAAATATCAATCATAGGCAAGATGGTGATCTTTCGGCCCAAGAAGATCTTGAATACAACCCTTTTCACTATTGCGCACTGCATGTTAAGTCCAGTGATGAGGATAACGTTGAAAGGCCTAGACGTGGAAGGCACCATTCAAGGGCTTTCGACATGAAGGTGGGTATCCTTGACTTTGACGGTAAGCCTCAACTTGAGGAGTTTATAGATTGGTTAAATTGTGGAAAGGGTTTTGGATTATAAGAGGATCCCAAAAGTAAAAATTATTGTCGTAAAATTGAAGAAAAGTGCTTTAGCATGGTGGGAATAACGTAGGTTTAGAAGGGAGAATGGGAAAGTCCAAAATTAATATTGAGGAGAAGATGAAAAATAATTTAAAGGACAGATAGCTATCTGAAAATTTTCTCCCTTCAAGGCGATGAAAGTGTTAAAGAGTACACTGGTGAATTTCATCAGTTGATGGCTTGTATTGATGTGGTTGAAAGAGAGGAATAGTCCCTAGTTCTCTATGTAGGTGAGCTGAGCAAATCGATACAAGATGCGGTGGTGCTACGATGTTATTGGACTTTAGATGAAGTTTACAAGCTTGTGGTTAAGGTTGAAGCTTAGCAGTGATGTTTGTCATCAAAGTGGGGTGAAGCCCAGGGTGGTAAAAGTGACCTTGGAAGCAATCTTAGCGGAAAAAGTGGGAAATTGGTGGCTGGACATGCCTCACGACCTGCCTGTTCGTCCAAACAGTAGGGTACTATGGGTGTTAGGGGCAGTTCCAGCCGCCTGAATCGTTTAAACAACGACGTCATTAAGTGCTTTAAGTGTTGGGAATCGCACACGTGTTTTCTCAATACATGGATAGAAAATTTGTGACCCTTGCTAAGGAGTTTCTTGAATTGGACAACAAACTATCATTTGACCTGGTTTATGATGAGGTACCTGAAGAGGATTAGCCTAAAGTGATATTTAATGGGTAAGCTTTGGTGATCTGCGTAACAGATTACACCTAGAGTAGTGGACGAGGAACTGGGAAGGGAGTTTCTTCCCCAAATCCTTGATGATTGGTGTGTTTTCATGGGTGATCCAATTTTTGACGAGGAACCTTATGATGGAGATGGTGATCCCGTCTTTGATACCGATCCCATCTTTTATGAGTGTCCTATCTTTGATGATGATTTGGTGGGTGATATTGTTTATGGGGAGTGGCAAAGTGAGGGTAAGGAGGATCATGGAGATGATTGTGGTAGTAAGGATGTTGTTTCTCTTGATGTCTTCTTCGAATAATGGGTTAGCACCCTTAGGGTTTGGTGTATTTTCCTATGAGGATTTTGCTAGTGAGTTCATCATAGAAGGTGCCTATCGAATGGTTGATTATGTGATTCCTGATGTTATTGTTTTTTTTTAGTGGAGAATCCCCATATGTGATCACTATGTGCGAGCTGAAGGAAATTACGAGCGTAACGCAACATTAATCTTGAGTTACTTCAAAGTTTGTAGTATAGTATTCTCCAATGTGTTTAGGACAAAGTATGTTTTGCTCATATACTACAATTATGGTAGTACACAATGGGCCCAACAGGGAATACATTCCATGGCACGCCTTGATCTCAAGTCTCGTTAATGTGGGAGATTGGTTTATAATGTACCCCAGGAAGGAAAGGCATCCAGTAGGTGAGTATAACAAGTATGATTGCAGGGCAGGACGGTTAAAGATTGTGAAGAAGATGGTACAATGCTCACAAGGTCGTTTTGGCTTCACATATGGAGACGTAGGGTATCTTCAACATTGTTGATTTGTCTGAGTATTTGGGCAAGATATAGATGAAGATGAAGCAATGTAGGAAAACATGACTTGGGAATGGAACCCAACCATGGATTGGGTCTAGGTAAACCAGAACTGGTCTGGTAACCAACCCGGGTGGAGCAATGCTAGCAAGGCAAAAACAAATTTAAAAAAAAAAATACAAAACATTCGAAAAAATATGTTTAAAGCAAAATTAAACAAAACACAACTAAATGAGGTTAAAAACTTAGTGTCAAAAAGTAGTCATGGCCAAAATACTTTCCAATCTTCTCCCAAATGATAGAAAACATAAAAAAAAACATTACAAATAAATTTCTATTTTTTTTTTTTGGATTTTTTAAGAATTTTTTGTGAAATTTTTTCAAAACTTGGGAACTTGACCTCCAAAATGGGGCTTGACAGGACCCGCCCATAGAGCGGTTCAGGGTAACCCGGCCGGGTGCAGTTTGACCTGGCCAGTTTTTCTAACATTGAGATGAAGGTTCTAACTCGAGGGCGAGTTATCCTCAACCTGGGGAGAATGATTTTAATTGCTGGACCACTTGGGACTTTTAGTCATTTTATTTATAATATTATTTAATCAAGAGTCAATTAGGACATATGGGTCAATTTATTATTTGTATGGACACTTTATGTCCTTGGATCATTAAATAATATTATTAAGAGATTCCAAGTGATTTTTTTCGGAGAAAAGAGGAACAATGAAAAGGATGTGTTTGGGCTGAGTTATTGTTGTTCTCTGTTCTCGTTCAATTTTCCTCTATCAGTTTTGGCCAAACCCTAAATTGGAATTTTCCATATTTCAAGGATTTTTTTAGCAAACTTCAAGGTTTGGATTGGATAGAGGATGCCCATTTGACCCTTAAGTGAAAATTTTCATGAAGCTCTCTCATTGTGAAAAAAGGTGCAAGAAAGGGGTTTCGGATTTTCCTGCAATCCCCCATGCCTAGAACACTGACAAACCAACTCCCCCCTCCCAAACACAGGTTTTGTATCTTGGAAACTGTGAGAGTTAGTGGATCCTGCTGGATGCAATCCATACTAGGGGACTTACCCAAGTCTAACAGGAAACCACTTCGGTCTGAGAGACCCTGATGGTAAACTCAGCATACAAGCAATTGAACTTCTTTAGCTTATCTTACATCCATACATCAGGGAGATAAAGGTTGATGGACATCTCGTTTGCCTATATGACACTTTTAAGAACCAAAGTGTCATATATCAGATGTGGTGCGTGACTCTTAAGTGATGTGTCGAGTTGGTTTGGTGAGATTCCAACAAAGGAATGAAGATTCAAAATTTAGAGCAAGCTCAGAAAAGTAAACTAAGACTTAGCAAATAGCAGTGCCTAATGGAGTCTAGAGAGCCAAGAATCTCTTGTCCAAGTTTTCAAACTATTATAAAATCTTTTCCGGAATAAAAGATGTATTTTGTTATGTTTGGGTGGAGGATTATGGGCAAAGTTGACTTCCTGTTGACGGGTGCTTCGTTACCATATAGACATTATATACATGGACATTGCTATGCCTGTGTAAAGTATGAAATGGCACGCAGGGGATAGAAAATTATAGAAAGAATGGAAGCATCCTTGGGTAAATGCCTCTTCTTAAAGTCCCCTACAAATTGGTGCAGAGCTCTGTATTGTTCCTAGCTTGTCTAAGATGGCTTGCCTCCCCGTTCTTTCCTAGCTTCTTTGCAAGCATGTCAGCTGATGTTATTTTGGACTTCAAATAAGATGTCAAGTCTACTTAGATTTCACTTTCTTCCTAAGATAGTTGTAGTGTGCCTCAATGTGCTTCATTCATGGAAATTCGGCTTGAAGCAAAATGTATGGTTTCCTTGTCATTGCTGCATGTTATTGGGAAGATAGGCTGTAGCCTAATCTCAATCATCAAGTCCTTAGCAATATTAACTGGCTGGCAGTCTGAGCCATTGCCTTGTAATCTGGATTGCACTAGACCATGCAACATCATGGTGCTTCTTACACTTACTTTATCACTTGTGGGTTATCCTTTCTGATTCTCTATAGTTTTCTTGGATGTTCTTTTGTGGTTGCCAGAGTTTCTTATTTATATGCTTTCTGAACATTTTAGAGAAATGTGGGAGATTTTGGACTATTGGAGCCTCAAAATTCGTCATTATCAATACTAGACCATGCCAGCTGGTCTAACTGGTTGGATTATTTCAAAGTCAATATTTGACCAGTGGGACCAACCATGTTTGACTCGTTGGAAAGGCTAAATTGGTTCCCAATGCTTTGACTGGTTTTGACTAGAATCCTAACCATTTTGGTGGCTGACCTGGTTAACACCGCTTCAAATATTGCACGTCTGCATTATCTAGGCATATGATGGGGGACTTCAGAGTTCCAATCCATAGATTGGGAACATAATCAGCATGTGCTCCTAATCCCTTTGAGCCATTCAATTGGTCATATGGTCCTTTATTTTGAAATTATTTCGACAAATGAATATATGATATCGACAAATGAATATATGATACTATTCTTGAAAGTTTTGGACTTTTCTCGTTCTATTGTGTTTATAATTTACTATTTATCTCTCTCTCTCTCTCTCTTTCTCTCTTGAGTAGAATGCTGAGATTTTTGGTGTTAATCTATGACATGACTGACACAAAAGCACTGTGATCAGGTGGCTGACTTTGGGTTGTCTCGGGAGGCAATGGTTAACCCTCAGGCATCTAATATTAGGGGGACATTTGGCTATCTTGATCCTGAATATATATCAACAAAGTCCTTCACAAAAAAGAGCGATGTATATAGCTTTGGAGTGCTGCTCTTTGAACTCATCACAGGCCGTAATCCTCAACAGGGTCTCATGGAATATGTCGAACTTGTAAAGAATCTGGCCTCCTTTTTCTATTTTACTTTATTTCCCCCTCCCTTCTCTCTCTCTCTCTATACCATCAAGTGTGTAATAGCTGATATTTACTAGAATCATAATTTTTGACAAGCCAAGCACTGATTCAAATTCATAGATAGAAACTGATTCAGTTTAGCATACAAACTTTGCTCTGATGAACAGGCAGCAATACATAGTGAAGGAAAAATTGGATGGGAAGAAATAATTGATTCTCGGTTTGATGGGAATTACGATGTAAGAGAAGTGAATGAAATGGCCGCGCTTGCCTACACATGCATAAACCGGATGCCGAGAAAACGGCCCGCAATTAGGGATGTTGTTCAAGTGCTGTCTCGAATAACGAAGCCCAAAAACTGCCGCAAGCAAAATCGCCAAGCCTTGTCTGCTATGGCTGAGGAAACTTCAATTGATATTGAGTTGGAAAATTTGGAATATCAGATACCAGACAAAGAGAAGGTCGAGAGAGAGGATTCCTTCGATAGCACTGCTGATCGGTCTGAAGTGTAGATGGTGTGCATCCTTTCCCCTATCCTTTGTTCTCGGTTTCTATATCCTTTTTTTTTTTGCATTGTGTTGGTGTACGTATTCTATGGTCAGCATCATGTTGATTGAATCAAATTTGCTGAAGTTTTGGGTGTCAATGTTTCATGGTGTTGGGGACCCTCAATGTAATATAGTCATTTTTGGGGGACATTTTTTTCAGTTACAATGAAAATGTAAAAACTTTTGTGCATTTTGTAATGGATAATTCTTTCATTCTTTGATGCAACTTTGCAAGTTAACCTACGGATTAGAAGATGACACTAAGGTTTTAAAGAAATTCAGAAAGTTTCGGCAGATATTGAGTCCTGTGCTGACGTATAATGAATAATGCTTTGTTGAAAATGAGCATAAATTTTAAAACTTTCAATACAAAATGTAAATGAAGTTGCTGTCATTTTGAAATTTGATCAGGCCAACATAGTCAACATCTCTCTCTCTCTCTCTCTCTATATATATATATATATATATATATATATATATATATATAAT